TTTTTTTTTTTGTTTCCTGCTCATATACCTCTTTTTTGTTGTCGTTGTCTTAGGATCTGGATAAATTCTTTAGTACAAGGTTGAATAAAATCAGCAATGGTAGGTATCATTTTCTTATTCTTCATTGTGAACAGAATATTTCTTTGGACTGTTAAACATTATATTTACCTTTATCAAGTCCATCAAAAGGGCTATGCTTAATTTTGCTAAGATCTATTTTAATCTTGAATTTATGTTGACTGCAATCCATTTTTTCTTATATCAAAATGATATCTTCTGTTTTTATTAATGCTTTCATCTATATTATCTATTTTTCCATTTCTACTTTCTTTGAATTTATTCTGTTGTTCTTTTTCTAACATCTTGATTTCTTTTAGAGTATTTTGCTCAAAGTGGTACACTGCTTTTTTTTTTACTTTAATGACCAGAGACAATGCTAAACCTTTAGATGAGAGAATCCAATGAGAGAGAGAGGACTGGTTTCTACATCATCACTTCTTCAAAAAACAAGATATATGCTACTATTTTAATTGTTCAATCCTATGTTGGTAAGAATGCTTGGTTAAATACTGATAGTGAAAACCACAAATATTAAAGTATTGGGGCATAGACAAGAAGGTGTATAGGTACATTCCTTTCTAATGACTGTTTGCTTGTCTATTCTAAATTAGTCTTTTTTAAACATGTTTATTCACTTACGCATTCATGTGTGTATGCACATTACCATTTAAAAATTTGTAAGTGTTATATCTATCCTTTCCCACTAAACAACTAACAGTAGTTCCTACAACACTCCTCAGTGCGGTGTAGACCCTCCAAAAAGAAATTGGGATAAAATCGCTGGGTGGTCATGATCCTTTCGCCTCATGTAAATTTACCTATGAGGCAGTTACAGCCTAGTGGTTGTGGCTAAAGTTGGAAGGGTAGGTTCATATCCTAGCTTTGTGACTTTAGGTAAATAATTTAACTTCACCAAGCTACATTTAACTTCTACTAATCTATTATTTCCTCTTCTATAAAAACAGGATAATAACAGGATCTAGTGCATAGGGCTGTTTTAGGATTACACAGATAATTCATGTAGAGTGTTCAGCACAACACCTAGAGCATGGCATGTATTCAATAAATGTCAAGTATTAGTGTTCTGTGTGTTTCTTTTTCCTTTTTTTTGAAATAGGCTTATGATAGGCTGTTATGATATAATGAAAACAACATATGACCAAGTGAGATTTGAGTTGGAATCCCAGCTTTGCCATTTACTAGCTGTGTGATCTTAGGCAATTCAATTAACCTCTCTGAGTCTCAAATTCCTCTATGAGGAATTTGCCTTAGGGGGCTGTCACAAAGGTTAAGTCAGATATCACCTGTGAAAATTCTTGGTGAGCTGTGCACTTATAAACTAAGAAAAGAAACTATTGCTTTTGAAAGCTAAAAGTTCTTTTTCCAAGCAAGAAACTAAAAATGGATTATCGAAAGCCAATACTATCTGGCTTTGCAAATGTTAAGTTTTCAAATAGCAAGAATAAGAACTATCTACTCGACTATCCTTAAAGGAACAAAAGCATTGATCTAAGCTGGTTCTAATGTCTGTAGATTCAAGGTTTATTGACATAAAAGATAAATCAATTCAAAAGCTGCAGAGGAGAGAAAGGTGCAGGGAAATCTGTCCTATTCATATATTTACGTCCATGGTGCTTCTGTGCTGTGACGGCTGCAGGCTAATTCAGACCACTCTCACAGGTCACACTAACCTTGGCTTCTCGTTCAGCATCAATGATGCCTCCCGTCTGCTCCTGCAGGAGGGCATATGCTCTTTGGAGGGCCTGGTATTCTTTTGTTAATTGCCGAAATCTTAGCTCAGATTCTTCAGCTGCTAAACTCTTGAGGTTAAAAAAAAAAAGCCAAAACATAATTGTGTTATGTTCAGGTCTTGTGTTCAATGTAAAATACTAACTTCTTTTCAACTTTTTAAAAAGAAGTAAAAGGTTTGTTTTAACATTCTGTTTGATTTTATTTTTAATTCTGAAGTGTACGTATGGACACAGATACTGTTAATACTTTCAAGGTGGACATTGTAGAAATATGTAAATATTTATTTTTTAAAAAGAAGCGTTTTTACTTATTTATACATTTCTGATTATTACCCATTTGGACATGGATTTCAGTCAATTTTGGATCTAAATGAGAAAGAGTCATACCTAGATTTTGCATCTAAATTTACTGAATTAGCTGGTTCTAACGTCTTTAGATTCTAGATATCTTAGAATTTTAGTCATTTCTTTTCAATATGTTCATTTCCAACAACTTCCTTCCCAGACAAATTATAAAAATTGTTTTTACAGCTTTAGGTCTTAAACTTCACAGTATAATGCAATCACCATGGAATTTTATGGAAAATGCAGATTGTGGGGTTTCACCCCCAAGATCTTGAGTGAGGAGTTGTATGGTAGGATCCAGGAATTTTCATTGTAACTGAGGCCTCTAGATCTGCTATCCCCAACCCCTGGCACGAGACCCAGTACTGGTCCA